GCATTGCGCTGGCATTGCGCTGGCGAGTTTCAACACCTCCGCAGACTGGTTCCTGCTGAACCCCCCACAAGAAGGATTCCAATTGAAGCATTCAACAAGAAGGGTTCACATTGAACACCCTCACGGAAGGATTCCATTCGAAGCCTTCCATAAAAGGATTCTTCTTAAACCCGGCCACAAACGATTTCCCCCACTGGCATTGCATTGGCATTGAATTGGGATCGCTTTGGCATTGGTTTGGCATTGCGTTGGCATTGCGCTGGCGAGCTCTAATCCTCCCCCCCCCCATAGAAGGATTCCTATGTAAACCTTGCACAAGAAGGGATCCTTTTGAAAGCCCCCAAATGAAGGATTCAAAGTGAACCCCCCACAGAAAGATTCCAATCGAAACCCTCCACGGGAGGATTCCTATCGAAATCCTCCGAAGAAGGATTCGTAACCAAATCATCCACATTAGGATTCCTAGTGAAATCTGCTGGAAGACAGGAATCCCGCCATCGGCAAAGAAAGAACCCCCCGTTGGCACTGCATTGGCATTGATTTGGCAATGGTTTGGCATCGCATTGGCATTGCGTTGGCATTGTGCTTGGCAGTGCGTTGCTAGTGTGCTTGCGTTTCGCAAGCATTGCGCTGGCGAGTCCTAGTGGAACCCTCCACAGAAGGACTCCGATCGAAACCTTCTACAAGAAGAACTCTTATTGACAAAAACGTTTCATATTGACACCCTCCGCAGAAGGATTCCATGCGAAACCCTCCACTGAAGGAGTCCTATTGGAATCTAAAGGATTTCCCCCATTGGCAGTGTATTGGCATTGGGTTGGAATCGCTTTGGCATTGGTGTGGCATTTCGTTGGCATTGCGTTGGCATTGCGCTGTCAGTGCGCTGGCGAGTTCCAACACCTCCCTTCGCAGAATGATTCCTGTTGAACCCCCCACAAGAAGGATTCCAATTGAAGCATTCCACAAGAAGGGTTCACATTGAACTCCCTCACGGAAGGATTCCATTCGAAGCCTTCCATAAAAGGATTTTTCTTGAACCCGGCCACAAAGGATTTCCCCATTGGCATTGCATTGGCATTGAATTGGGATCGCGTTGGCATTGGTTTGGCATTGCGTTGGCATTGCGCTGGCGAGTTCTACAGAAGGATTCCTATGAAAACCTTGCACAAGAAGGGATTCTTTTGAAAGCCCCCACATGAAGGATTCAAAGTGAACCCCCCACAGAAAGATTCCAATCGAAACCCTCCACGGGAGGATTCCTATCGAAATCCTCCGAAGAAGGATTCGTAACCAAATCATCCACATTAGGATTCCTAGTGAAATCTGCTGGAAGACAGGAATCCCGCCATCGGCATTGCCTTGGCATTGGTTTGGCAACGGTTTGGCATCGCGTTGGCTTTTCGATGGCAGTGCGTTAGCAGTGCGTTGGCATTGCGTTGACATTGCGCTGGCGAGTCCTACTCAAACACTTCACAGAGGGAGTCCTATTGCACACCCCCACAAAAAGGATGCCTATTGAATCCCCCCACAAGAAGGATTCAACTTGAAATCCTCAACAGAAGGTTTCCATGCCAAGCCCTCCATATAAGGTTTCCGATTGAGATTCCCCGAAGAAGGGTTCTTAGAAGGATTGCTATTGAAATCTAATTGCAACTCAATGCGATTGCGATGCAATCAGACTGCAATGCAAATACAATGCGATTGCACTTCAACGCAATGCGAACGCAATGTACATGCAATGCAAATGCAGTGCGACGCAATGCGCACACAATGCAAAACATCCGGCGCCATATCATCCTCATTTCCCTTCTCTCGTCCTTCTTCTCCCTCTCCTGGAGCTCTCTGAAGATACCTTGGCAAATGGATCCCGATGCGTCCCACTGTTCTTCACGCTCACGCCGTCCGAGCGTGACTTACTCTTTCCCGCAAGTTCCTGGCCAAACTGCTCCTCCCTCATCATCCTCCTCCTCCTGCTTCTCCTCATGGCAGTTCCCGCCAGCTTCTGCAAGCAAAGCGATAATGTATGCCCTCGCAGCCAAGAAAGGGAAAGATACCGAAACCAAATCTCTTGCCCGATGGTTCCCGATGCGAAGCAATAGGACATGGCGCTACCGCACCGTCCTGCACCTACTTCCCTCCCCCCCTCCTCCTTCCCCCGTCCTCATCCAAAAAATGCTTCCTCCTCTATGTTCCTTCTCACACTCATCCTCCTCACAGGTAAGATAGAGAGGGAGAGAGACGGAGAGAGAGAGAGAGAGATATGAAGAGATATTGATAAAAGAGAGGACAATCAACAGCAACGAAAGAGAACATACAAAGAGGGAGACAGACACGAGCAGAAAGGGATAGTTCAGACGAGAAGGGCTGAAAGAGAAGAGAAACATATGAGAACGCTGACAAAGGGAAACAACTCCAGAAAATCGGAAGAGCCCCCCAAAAAATGCCCCCCCGAGCATGGTCCTCGAAATTCCAACCCCATGCCGCTTGGCACAGGGCTAGAGTTTCGAGGACCATGCTTGGGGGGGCATGGATAGTTCAGACGAGAAGGGCTGAAAGAGAAGAGAAACATAAGAGAACGCTGACAAAAGGAACAAATCTTCAGAACATCGGAAGATCCCCAAAAAATGCCCCTCCCCCAAGCATGGTCCTCGAAATTCCAACCCAATGCCGTTTGGCACAGGGCTAGAGTTTCGAGGACCATGCTCGGGGTGGCATTGGTTTGCAGGTGTGACAGCATAACAGTGTGATACATCATGGAAAAGGGATGTATACCTATAAACGTGACTGCGAAAGAACGAAAAGGAAAGAGAGAGAGAGAGAGAGAGCGAGAGGGCGAGAGAGAAAAACGGAAAACATAACGATAATGGAAATGATGAAGAACAACGTGGAAGATCGGAAAAGAAACGTCTAGAACACACAGGGACTCCACAATCCCCCGGCCTCTCCTCCTCCTCCTCCTCCTCCTCGTCCTCCTCGTCCCCTTCCTCCTCCTCATCCTCCTCCGCCTCCTCCTCCTCCTCTCCTCCTGCCTCCTCCTCCTCTTCCTCTACCTCCTCTCCTCCTCATCCTCCTCCTCCTCCTCCTCTCTCCCCCCTACTCCTCTCCTCCTCCTCCTCCTCCTCCTCCTTCTCCTCTCCCCCTCCTCCTCCTCCTCCTCCCCCCCTCCTCCTCCTCCTCCTGCTCCTCCTCCTCCTCCCCCTCCTCCTCCCCCATCCTCCTCTGGACGCGAATAGACGAGGACAGGCCCCATTGGGGCACGATGGCGGATTGGGGTGGCAGTTTTCGCAATGCAGGTGAGGATGTCGGGATCGCAGTTTCAGGAGGATGGTTCAGAGCATGTGGATGGGAGATTCTGCGTTGGAGGATGGGGCTAGGCGGGTGGCAGCGTTTGTCAGGTGGGTGGGAACATTTCTGTAAGTGGCAGTCTTGTGCTGGTGGTGAGGTTCTTCAAGTGGCAGTTGTGGGCTGGTGTGTGAGATTATTCAGGTCACAGGTGTGGGCTGGTGGGTGAGAATGAATGTTTGGGTACGTAGGAGTTTTGGGCTGGTGAGTGAGGAGGCGGGTTTGTGAGAATACTGCGAAGGCCTTACGGCCGGTGCCGCCGACCCTGAAGGAAGGACCTCTCCCGTCCCCCCGGGAGCCCCGCTGGCGATCCCCGCTGGCACCCGCCAGGGCCCCGGGAGGGGGAGCGGTATGTTGTCCCGGGACGCTTCCCCGGGACACCCCACACCCCACCCACCCCCACCCCAGCAGGGAAGGATTAAAGGGAAGGGAATGCACCTAAACTACGACGTTATTTTCCCTTGTTGCTCAATTTCCTTCGGACTGACTACGACGACGACAGCGTCTTCCACACACAGAAGGGTCGGCGGATTTTGTTGCAAACTTCCGGCGGGTAGAGGCTTGACGGCTTGACTCTTCTTCTGGCATGCGTGGTCCTTCGCCGTCGCCGCCATGCTCGCCGTCATCACCACCATGTTCACATATTTTACCACCGCCAGAGCACCTATCAGCGTCGTCAGCGCCTCTGCCAGCGCCTTCAGCACGCGGTCCTGGTCCAGGGGGCAAGCTGTCCGGCGAACCCTTTGTTGACTACAGTGGAAACCCATGCCAAGAAACACCTTGCTTGTCTCCTGGGTTTCTTGGGTTTCGATGGTTTTGCTATGGAAAGCGCGACGTTCCCACACCAGAAATCAATGGACGTCCTGTGGTCTCAGGGTTGGGTTCCTTGTGGAAGGTTTCTCGTGGACTGGCCGCCTCCACTGTACGGTCGGACCGAGGTATAAGATCGAGGTCGGTTCGGGGAGGGTACCCGAACGTTCTTCGTGCTTGTTGGATGTTCTTGTGCATCCTGGGGGAGGGCACCCTCGAGGGTCCCTCAGTTTGGGCCGGCGCAGGGTCTCATGCTCTTGAATGATTTTTTTCTGTCCTAGGTCTGACCGTACAGTACTTGAATTCCTGCCCTGATAGGCGTTGTCTATCTGTGTGTCCGGCACCCGCCCTCTCCTCCCCCTCTCTTCTTGTGCGTCCCTGAGGCCACCTCAGGGCACGCTGGAAGTTCGGCTTCCCGGCCACGGCGCTCCGACGACACTCCAGAATTGCCCGAGAGTGCCCACGAGATCCGTGAGTTGGGGGCCCAGGGTCCTCAAGAGAGAGTACCGCTGCATCCGATGCCGGGGCGTCGCGAACCTGAGGACGTTCCACCCAGCGCCTGCAGCACGATGGCGGCAGCTGGTCGGAACAGGTCCACGCAGATCGTCTAGCAAGTAGATACAGGTGCCTCTGCAGCATCGTTGGAGGAGGCGTACGGCAGGTTCGCGTCGTGTTGACCGGCGGCGACCCCGCCGCCGACGTTCAACGTTGAACGCCGACGGCGGCCCAGAATCGGTCGGTGTTGAACTCGGCCGTTAAGGTTGAACGATCCAGCGCGGTGTCAGGAACCAATGCCGGGGTCGACACGACACGAACTTGCAGTAGAAACGTTTCGCGCGCCGGCCAGGGGATGAATGCGACGATCGGGTCTGCTGTCATCGGCGGGGTCGCCATGATGGTCTCGTCGGGGCCTCAGCCACGACTCACAGTCCAGCTGGTGCCCGATAGTCCAGGCGATCTCCTCTTAATTAGCTCAAAGTCCTTTTTGTCCCAGGGGGAGTGGAGAAGAGGTGACGAGGAAGGAGGAGGAGGAGGAGGAGGAGGAGGAGGAGGAACAGCATGAAGGGTGAGGAGGGCAGTTGGCTCGTCTGCGTGAGAGCATCTGTGCTGAAAGAAGAGGGCAGGTGTCCGTGCGTGTGATCCTCAGGCGATCGCAAACATGGATCAAGGGGGCGTGGATTAGCGACGGGTCCTGTGCCCATGGGAACTTTCGGATTTCCGCCGCCGAACGAGACGGCACCGGCCGCATTTTGGGGAGGGCACCTCCTCCGATCCATGGATTTGGCGACCGCGCGTCAAATCCATGGATCGCTAATCCATGTTTGCGCGCCCCCGAGTCTAGCCAGTGGCGCCAGCTGGTACCTTGGCAGCTCGCTTGTAAGGGTCCTTTATATTGCTTGTCAGAAGTGGGGCGGGCCCCGTAAACTATTCTCAGGATTGAGCATTGTGATTCAGGGGAGGAGGCAACGGACCTGAGGACATTCCACTTCGTGCCACAGTGGCACGGTGGCGCATATATCATAGCTGTTACGACTGTTATTCCTACGTATTCGATTTCTACTACGAACGCGATTACGGTATTGTCTCAGTACTGTTAGTCTTACGAATCGTAATGCTAGTGCTATTCGTGTTTCTACGTTTACTCTTGTTATGATTCATAGTTATTGTGCGATGACTCGTATCTATATGAGGACTAGCCTTACTATTGCTACTTCGACTGTGCTGTGTTTATGGTTATCAGGCCTGATACTAGTAGTATGACTGCTCGTATCTCTATTCGTTTTCGCATCCGTAATTCCTAAACTGAGCGTCTGCAAGGGTCTTATGCACTGGTTCTAGACCGAGTGCGTGGCGATCCAGGTCTGGAATCGGTCGGGCGACGTTGTCTCCCATTTGCCTCCCGTGGTTTCCGATTTGCCTCCCGTGGCCTCCCGTTGGCTCCTGTTGCTTCTCGTCGTCTCCCGTTGTCTCCCGCTGTCCTCCGTTGTCTCCCATGGTCTCCCGTTGCCTCCCGTCGTCGTCCGTTGTTTTCCTTTGTTTCCCATTGTCTCTCTCTCTCTTTCTATCCCCAGCCCTCTATCCCTATTTCTCTTGTCCTTATCCTTCTCCGATCCTTTCCTTTGCCCATCTTCCCCAGCTTTTTTTCCCGAGGTCACTCTGGGTGTCTCCGTCTGTGCCCCTCTCCCTCGCCCACGTTTAAAGCTGTTCAGGGTCTTCTGCCGCAAGGGCGTAAAAAATCCACCAAAATAGTCAAATCATAGTCACCATATTATTTTTGGACTAATTCTGAATATTCCTCCTGTAGAGGGACAGGCCCGACTTGAGTCTCCACGAGGCGCCCAGAGAGGCCTATGGCCGCTGCGCCAGCGGCCCGCGCACGTCACCGCGCAGGGCCAGCGACGGCGGCGACGGCGGCGGCGGCGGCGACGACGGCGACGACGACGGCGGCGACGACGATGACGTCGGCGGCGGCGGTGGCGACGGCGGCGGCGGCGGCGGCGGCGGCGACGACGGCGGCGGCGGCGACGACGACGGCGGCGGCGGCGACGGCGACGACGGCGACGACGACGACGACGGCGACCCCAGCGGGCGGTTTTTGGCTGCCTTCGGCCTCCGGGGTCCCTCGCCGGGCCTCGGGACCGTCAAAGAACGACTCCGGGCGAAGAGCTGGCCCCAGGAGAGTGGTCCAGATCTCAGGGGGCCACGCATCGTGTGTCGGGTGTCGTGGGCCCCCGTCGCCCATCCGAGGAGAGGCCGAGGAGCCATCCTGTAATTACTGGGTGACGCTCGGGCGTGCCACCGCCCAGGGTTCGGCCTGCACCACTGCTGGGGCAACCATTCCGTCGGGCGTGTCCCTCTACAGGAGGAATGTTCAAAAATAGTCAAAAGATAGTCTTGGGACGATTTTTCCACCATTTTTTACCATTTTTGAGTTTCGTGTTTTTTTTTTTTTGTTCCAAAATCCGCCTGTAGGGGGACATGCCCGACCCAACGCTACCCCCCGGACAATTCCCGGGATGCGTTCTGACCAGGATTTCGAGACGAACCCAGCGGTGGCGACGAGGGCCTCCCAGGATACCCCAAAGAGGGGAAGGCGAGGGAAGGGTAACACCTTCCTCCGAACTGCGTTTTCGCCGGCGGTGGTCCGCGCCTTTCCTCTGAGCGTCTCCGAGCTCAGGTGTGGCCTGCTGGGGCTCACGACGCACCTGAAGGGCCTGGCCCTCTGGGAGCTCGTGGAGGCCGCCGCCGAGGCGGTCACCGCCATGAGGCGGCCGCGCGCATGCATGTCCCTCTACAGAAGGAGCATTTCAAATTGATCAGAAGATAGCATGGGGACGATTTTTATATTATTTGTTTGACCATCTTGGAGTATTTTTGTTGACAATTCTTCATTTGTCCTCCAAAGTCCGCCTGTAGGAGGACGTGCCCGACCTAACGCATGCCCCCTTCGTCGTCTCCTCCACTGTCGCCGTCGTCGCCGATCGAGGATCGAGGCCGTCCCCCAGAGAGCCGACGCTCCCAAAAACAGATTGGAGCGGGCGGTTTTTGGATTGTTTTCGGCCTCCAGGGGCGACGGCGACGGCGGCGACGACGACGACGACGACGACCACGAAGGCGACCCCAGCGGGCGGTTTTTGTCTTTTTTTCGGCCTCCAGGCCTCGGCCCTTGCCTGGCCTCGGGACCGTCAAAAAACGACTCCGGACGAAGAACCGGCCCCGGCCCCCTCGAAAAAGCTTGGAGCCGCCTGATATCTGGGGTTGTCGTCGCCGATCGAGGATCGCCCTGGTTCGAGGGTCGAGGCGCCCCGGGAGGTCGCCGGAGGCTTCCGGGGACCGTCAGAGGAGGTCGTCCTCGTCCTCGCCCTAGTTTGAAGTCTCCTTGACTGGCTTGAGGCGCAGCCGGGGCCACAAGCTTCCTGAAGCCCCCGTCTAGGATGCTTGATCGTCGTCGTGGTCGTCGCCTTCGCCTTCGCCGTCCCTGTTGTCGTCGGCGTCCTCGTCGCTAGAAGCCGCGTCGTCGTCGTCGTCGCTGTTGTCGTCGTGGCCCTTTGTGCCAAGCTCTGATGAGTTCCCCGGCCCCCGCCGAGGTGGCTCGGCGGCCGCCGTGTGCCAAGGGCCTTCCCCTCCGACGCGGGCCCTGTGGCTCATCCCGCGTGGGCGCAGAGACGGCCGCGCGTCGTCGCCGTCTTCGCCGTCGCGTCGCCGCGCCGCGTCGAGACTGCCGCGGTGGCCGCGAGCAGAGCTCCCGCCGAGGTCGCCCAGCCCGTCGAGGGCCCTCCCCTCCGATGCCTGCCGTTTTCCACCGCGGCGGCGGGGTGCCCACTGCTGGGCGGCCGCTGGGCCGCACGCAGGCGCGGCCGCTCGCGCCCTCGCCAACGTGGCAGAGGGCCCGCCGCGTCCGCCAGAGGCCGAGCTCGTCGAAGCTCCTCCTCCTCCTCCTCCTGCTGCGCCTCCTCCTCCTCCTCCTGCTGCGCCTCCTCCTCCTCCTCCTCCTCCTCCTCCTGCGCCTCCTCCTCCTCCTCCTGCTCCTCCTCCTCCTTCTCCTCCTCCTCCTCCTCCTCCTGCTGCGCCTCCTCCTGCTCCTCCTCCTGCTCCTCGTCCTCCTCCTCCTCCTCCTCCTCCTCCTCCTCCTCCTCGTCCTCCTCGTCCTCCTCCTCCTCCTCGTCCTCCTCGTCCTCCTCTTCCTCCTCCTCGTCCTCCTCCAAGAGAGGCGAGGCGCTTCTGCCTGCGGACGTCCACAGGTCCTCCCCGCAGGGGCGCGAAGGCAGCCGCGCTTCCCGCGCCGCGGCTGGGGCCTCTGAGCCGGCCTGCTCCAGAAAGGGGCGCGCCACAGCTGGAGGGCGCGGGCGTGGGCGTGGGCGCGGGCGTGGGCGTGCGTGTGGGCGTGGGCGTGGGCGTGGGCGCGGGCGCGGGCGCGGGCGTGGGCGTGGGGGTGCAGGTGTGGGTGTGGGTTTGGTTGTGGGCGTGGGTGTGGGCGTGGGCTTGGGTGCGGGTGTGGGCGTGGGCGTTGGCGTGGTGTGTGTGTGTGTGTGTTTGTGTGTGTGTGTGTGTGTGTGTGTGTGTGTGGGTGGGTGGGTGGGTGGGTGGGTGGGTGGGTTCGCTTCGCGCCTCGCGGCCTGGACCAGCTGCCGTTCGCCAAGGAGGCCGCACGAGAGCGCGAGGATATTCGCGCTCCGCGAAGCGCGAAGCGCGAAGCGCGAACTCGAGCGACTCGTGAGGGCAGTGCAACGTTGGCGCCGAGAGCGTTTCCCTCCGACGCGTGCCTGGTCGGTAGGGGGAAAGGGACGAGCAGCAAGCAAGCAAGCAAAGTCGCGTGGAGTCCGGGTTCGAAACCAACAGCAGGGGTAAATATTTGAGCGTAGACTCCGTGATAGGTAAGGTCGGATGGGTCGCGCATCATGGCTAGGGACGAGCCAGACTGACGAGAATACTAAAAACAATAATAATAATAATCAGAAGAAGAAGAAGAAGAAGGAGGATAAGTTCAGGAGGATTCGGTGAAGGGGCTTTCTTCGTTTTGGGATGTCTTGGTGCTATCGTTCTGCACCTACAGGGCAGCGACAGTGCCATTTTTGCAGCCTTGCTCCTGCGTTTTCCTCCGACGTCGAAGACGATGCGCAACGACGACCGCCACGGCCTTCAGTGGCACGGGGTGTAGTACACGACGGTGCGCAGCGGTAGCTGGTCCGAGGGTGAAGAACGGCCCTGCAGGGGGGACCCATGCCAAGAAACACCCGGCTTGCCTCCAGCGTGCCGTTGGTTTCTTGGGTTTCGGTGGTGTTGCAGTGGCAAGCGCGACGTTCCCAGACCGAGAACCGAGGGACGTCCTGCGGTCTCAGTGCTGGATTTCTCGTGGAAGGTCTCTTGTGGCCGGGCCCCTGCCGTAGCTTTGGATGGGGCGCGCTCATGCTCTTCGTGCTGGGGCCTTCCACCCCGGAGTCCCACTCCTTCCGGGCGCCTCCGTGAGGGGCCTCGAGCCTTCGGCAGAGGGGCTGTGCTCTTGAGCCGCGCTCTCGTGGCCACGCTTCCACGCTTCGGCTGTAGCCTTCGGATCTCGAAGCCTCTGTCCTCCTCGAAGCACCCCCGCGGGTCCATGCTGATCCCCCATGCGTTGGAGGCGCCGTGGAAGTACGCACGCCCAGGAATCTCGATGTACCTCTCGATCCTCGAGCCTCTGTCCTCCTCGAAGCACCCCCGCAGGTCCATGCTGATACCCCCTGCGTTGGAGGCGCTGTGGAAGTACGTCCTCATGTGGATTCTGTGCCGCATTCTCTTGCGCCCCCCATCGTCTCTCCGCGTCCCTCCTCGACCTTGCCGTCCTCCCGTCGCCTCACCTTCCTCTTCGCTATCATTCCTGCTCCTCCTCCTCCTCCTCCTCCTCCCAGTCGAAGGGTACATGTATCTCATTGCATCTCCCCTCCCAGCACGCAAGCAGGTGGCAGTAGCGAAAGAGACAGGAAGAAGGGCCGCCGCAATTTAGACACGAGTCAGAGCAAGGCGACCGAAGACATTGTCGGCAGGCCTGTGCATTCGATCCTAAGCGATGGAAAGCTATAATGAGGTTGAAGACGACGAGGAGGGGGCCCGTGCACAACATCAGCAGTGATCGGATTGACGTTCTCTAATGTCTGCGCAACACACGAGACAGGGAAGCTGGAGTGTCCCGTGGTTTCATAGTTTGTGTTCAAATTCATGTTCAACTTGTGTTCCTTGTCGTTTCCCGATTAGCCCGCCTGCTTCGTCCCGCCAGCCCTGGCTTCCCGCCTGCCTGCTCGTCGTCGTCGTCGTCGTCGCCAGCTTGCTTTTCCCTTCCTTTATGTATGTATGTCTTTCTTTGTTTTCATGCATTAGACTACATATATAGAGAGAGAGAGAGAGAAAAAAAAGAGAGAGAGAGAGAGAGAGAGAGAGATTCTGCCCCACCCCTACAAGGGACACCCGAGGGATGTGCCCGCAGCGGTGGCGGTGGGCCCAAGCAGTCCACGCGCCGCCCGCGCGCATCCCAGACCAGCCTCGGGCCCCAGAGGGGGCCTCGGACAAGTGGGGTTCCTGGGGGATCTGGGGGGTCGGGGAAAGGGTGGGAGGAGGAGGAGGAGGAGGAGGAGGAGGAGGAGGAGGAGGAGGAGGAGGAGGAGGGAGAGGCCGAGCATGAGCTCAGCCAATGCTCCGCGCACACGTATCGTGGCCCCAGTGGGCTTCACCGGAGGTTTCGGGCCAATTTCGGCACACCCCTCACAGGTTTCGTGGCCCCAGTGGGCTTCACCGAAGGCTTCAGGGGACTTTCGGTACACCCCTCACACGCTATGTGGCCACACAAGGGGGCTCCACCAAAGGCCTCGGGTCCAGTTCGGCACGCCTCTCACACGCTTCGTGGCCCCACAGAGGGCTCCGCCGAAGGCCTCGGTCCAGTTCGGCGCACTCCTCACACGTATCGTGACCCCAGTGGGCTTCACCGAAGGATTCGGGTAAATTTCGGCACGCCTCTCACACGCTGCAGGGCCCCAGTGGGCTCCAACGAAAGTTTTGGTTGAATTTCGGCATAATTACCCCTCACACGCTTCGTGGTTCCACAGGGGGCTTCACATACCTATGGTTTTGGTTCAATTTCGGCATACCCCGCACACGCTTCGTGGCCTCAGTGGGCTTCACCGCAGGATTTGCGTCAATTTCGGCACGCCCCTCACACGCTTCGGGGCCCCAGTGGGCTCCAACGAAGGTTTTGGTTGAATTTCGGCATACAACTCACACGCTTCGTGGTTCCACAGGGGACTCCACCGAAGGCCTCGGGTCCATTTCGGCACACCCCTCACACGTTTCGTGGCCCCAGTGGGCTTCACCGAAGGATTCGGGTCAATTTCGGCACACCCCTCACACGCTTCAGGGCCCTGTGGGCTCCACGGAAGGTTTCGGGCGAGTTACGGCACATGCTTCACGTTTCGTGGCCCCACAGGGGGCTCCACCGAAGGCTTCGGGCCCATGTCGGCACACCCCTCACACGTTTCGTGGCCCCAGTGGGCTTCACCGGAGGATTCGGGTCAATTTCGGCACACCCCTCACACGCTTCTTGGCCCCCGTGGGCTCCACCGAAGGCTTCGGGCCCAATTCGGCACACCTCTCGCACGCTTCGTGGCCCTAGTGGGCTCCACCTATGGTTTTGGTTCAATTTCGGCATACCCCGCACACGCTTCGTGGTTCCACAGGGGGCGCCACCTATGGTTTTGGTTAAATTTCGGCGCACCTCTCACACGCTTCGTGGCCCCAGTGGGCTACACCGAAGGATTCGGGTCAATTTCGGCACACCCCTCACATGCTTCGGGGCCCCAGTGGGCTCCACCGAAGGTTTCGGGCGAGTTACGGCACACACCCCAATCCTGTTAGAGGTAGAGCCACATGTAGAGGGATTCCAATAGGGTCCATAGAGGGGTTCCTACAGGGCCCGTGGGGATCCCATTGAATTTTTCAAGATTCCTACAGGGTTCTTATAGGGTCCGTAGGGATCCGTAGGGGACCCTATAGGATTCCAACCAGATTCTTATAGGGTCCGTAGGGGTCCTATAGGATTCCTATAGGGCCCGCAGGGACCCGCAGGGATCCTATAGGATTCCTGCAGGATTCCTACAGGGTCTGTAGGGATCCTATCGGATTCCTATCAGATTCCTAAAGGGCCCTATCGGATTCTCATAGGATTCGTTTAGGAGTCCTCTTTTAGGTTCGTAGGGATCCTATAGGATCCCTACAGGGTTCCTGTACGGTCCTATGGGATTCCCATCGGATTCGTATAGGAGTCCCTTTGCAGGGTTCGTTGGGATCTTATAGGAGTCCTACAGGATTCCTACAGGGTCTTATAGGAGTCGTACAGGAGTCCTTTAGGGTTTGTAGAGATCCTACAGGAGTCCTTTAGGGTTTAGAGGAGGAGGAGCTCCTTTTTTGCGGCGAGCGCACGGCTTTCGCATACAGGAGTGCGTGGAGAACAGTATTGGAGCTGACGTCGATTCGGGAACGCATATAGATTTACGTAAGCGTATGCACAGGTATTGGGATTTGCTCCCCCCCTGGGGCAACAACAATAACGTTTGGCCCGGGAGGGTGCGCTCGCTTTGTGGGCGAGGACACCACGACGGGACCCGTTGGCGTGGCCTGAGGGGTTGTCCTTGCGATGTTGTTGAACATTATTTATTCTAAAGAATAATTATTGTTGGGCCCCCTGGTGCGCGCCCCCCCTGCGCCGCCTAGGCCGCAGCTACATTTTCATCATTTTCGTGAGGAAGCCTCAGAAAAGAGGGTGTGTACAGGATCCGGTTGTTTTGTTGTAATCCGCTTTCCCTTGCAAAAAACAATAGAAAATGACATTTCTTGTTCTAATATAATCAAATTTCAAGAATCCCTTGCAAAAAATAAGGTAAAGTGGACATTCGCGCGCGCAAGACGAAATCCTTCCAAAACCTTAGTGTTCGCAACGATTTTAACATAAAAACATCAAAAAACCAATGGTTTTTCAACAAAAAATGTCAAAATCTCATCCCGCGCGCTCTTGCGGATTCGTAGGAAACCCAACACTTTTTAAACATTTCTGTCAAACGGGCTTTTGCGAGCAACTTTTTCGAACTTCTGCGACAACGGTTGCGCACCTGCCAGGGCCATCATCCCTGTCAAATAATACCATGCGGGACACATTCGTTTTTTCTTCGCGCGCGCACGCCGAAATCTCCAAAAACCATTGGGCTTCTTAAGAATTTTAGCACCGCGCATCATAAAATCACACGAATCGCACCGTAGGTCCTCGAAAAACACCTGCACGACTTTTCAAAATTTCTACCCGCGCGCGCTGTCCGAATCCTAAAAAAACCAATGGTTTTCCAACATTTATGTTACATGAGCTCGCGCGAGCTACTTTCGCACGCTCTTGCAACGGGGTTCGCGCGCCTGCCAGGGGCCACAATCCCTTGCGGTTGCGCCATAGGTTGCGCCCTCGGCCGCCGAGAATAAAACGTCCCCCTTATTGGTTGCGCCATAGGTTGCGCCCTCCGCCGGGACAATCATCGGGACAACGATCGGGACAACCACAACCATCAGGACAACCATCGGGACAACCATCGAGACAACCATCGGGACAACCATATCCTCTCTCTCTTGTGTATTCCCACATCCCTCAGGAATTTGCCCTAAAGATGTGATCAACTATCTCGTGAGTACGTATCATGTGTATCATGTGTATCATGTACCATATGCATCATATGCAACAGATGTTCTGTGGAAGGCTTAACAACTTCTGTGGGTTAACAAGGCTTAACAACTTCTGTGGGTGTACGAACGTAGGCTTAACAACTTCTGTGGGTGTGTACTCCACGCCAGTGTAGTAGCCACGGTCGTCCGCAGGCCACGAAGTGAAGTGTCCGAACGTCATAGGGCGGGAAGCTGGGTGTGGGTGGTGGCGAAGAGTCGTGTGGATATTTGGTAGAGCTTGCACTGCCCCCCCACAAAGTGGGGGTATTGGCTGGCGTCGCATGAAAACCCTGGCACTGGTGAGAACACTGAGCGTTCGGGTAAAGTGATTGTTGTTGTTGTTGTTGCTGTTGTTGCTGTTGTTGTTGTTGGTTGTTGGTTGTTGGTTGTTGGTTGTTGTTGTTGTTGTTGTTGTTGTTGTTGTTGTTGTTGTTGTTGTCGTTGCTGCTGTTGTTGTTATTGTTGTTGCTGGTGTTGTTGTTGTTCGTTGCGACGACCGTCCCGGCCCGAGCTTGTTGTTGAGATCTTATTCTTCTTGTAAATTGATATTCTATCATTTTTGGTAAATGGAAAATTTGGAGCTGGCGGAGCTTAGCTCCCCCCCCGGGGCCGGGACGGGTGCCTGCACTGGGTCGCGGCCCCCGACCAGGCCACCGGGGCCGGGGCGGGCGTCGGCACACGGGGGGTGCGACCAACAAGCCGAAGACCGTAGCCATGTATATACATACACATATATATACACATATCTCTATATATATATATATCTGTATACATGTACGTATCCATACATGTATATGAAGCATAATTTTATATATACACAATTGTATGTATGTTTGTACATGTCTAATCATTTGTTAATATGTAGAAACACGGTAGACATGCATACATACCATATATGTGTTCACATATATGTACACATATTCGTACATACATAACGATATGCACGTACATATGTATATACACACATACAAGCACATATATATATATATATATACACGTATGTATATGTATATGCATATGTATACGTGTATATATAT